CCTTCAACTTTTCACCTGAAACCACCAGCTCTCAAGGCTTCAGCCTGAAATGCAGGGGGAAAAGAAGGGGGATATCAATATATGTTCAAGCCTAGAACACCAAGTCCCACCCCAGCCTCAGCCTCTCACCTACCCGGGAGCAAATGCCCCCATTCCCCTGGCTGATCCAGGGAACAAGCCTTGCCCTTTACTGGCCTCTTTGTAACTTACCACTGAGGCAATTAACAAACTGGTCCCAAACAGAGAGGAATCAGGAGCTCAGCCCCTTTGGTCTTTCATGCTCCTGCTGAATGCCCCCATAACCTTCAAAATTGAAGCTCATTCAAGAGCAAGTGGACTCAAGAAAGAGTGAAGTATCTCCTCTACTGCTGCTGTGGCACCTGCTCTGGGACCAAGGGATTCACTTCTGAACTGGCACGGGCTTGGTCTAGAGAAATGGATCCCCATTTGCACATTACCTGCAGTTTATAAACAAGCTGAACTTCCTTCTGCCACTAAACGTGCAACTAGCTGAGAGCAGGCTCTCACCCAAAGCAGTGTGTGCACACAGTAACAATTTACCTCTCTTGTCTGTAATTAATCTTCCAAGTCTCTGCATCATGTAGGCTTTCACAGTAAAAAGGACAAAACTTCTTGCAGTCTCAAAGTCAGTGACGATTCAGTTAGTCTTTATTTTATTCTGACAGGCTTCTTTATCCCAGAGACAATACTAAGACACATGATTTTACCAGGATTTTTTCCCAGAGTTCAGTCCAATCACAAAAAGGGAAAAAAACAGCATGTTACAAAAAACGTATTTAACACAGGTTTGAAATAGATTTATATGCCATTTTGCTTCTATTGTCACAAACCCTTTAACATAATTACGCTGTGGCATAAACAGAAGAAGAACACATGAGCATCCACCAAAACTCATCCTCCATACTTTTTGAGTTCACAAATTAAACCTGTCCAGGCACTGTGAAACACTGAAGGAGCCAAATAAAGAAATAAGCATTAAATCACCAAGAAAAATGCCCAGAGTGAATTTCAAAAGCAGCAAGACAAAGACCAATGCATGGTTCAATGCATGTGTGTAAAGACACAAGGCACAAAAAGCAACACTTTGCTCTTCTTACAGCAAAAAGGAAAGAGGAGAACCCAACATGAGACTGTTCCTGCTGCTGCAAGACAGGGAGCCCCACTGACCCAGGCCCTGCTCCACAAGGGCATGAGCATCAAGGAGGAAATCTGTAAGCTGAGATCCTGGAAAACACAGAGGCACCAGACCTGGCACGGTGCACCAGCTGCTGTTGCAGCACGGATCCTCAGCTCCGTACCCTGGCTGGAGAAAACTCATCACTAGCAGCTCACCCTCTTACCCCAGACAAAGCAGGGCTTCCTCACCCATCTCCATAGAGACTTGCCAGGAGTTTCCCAAACCAATGAAAGCCAAGACAGAAGAAAACAAGTGCCCAGCCACAAATGCACTGTCTTGTGGAAAAGCAGAGTAACTTGAACACTTTCATGCAAGGAACAACTACAGACCTGGGGGGCTGGCAACCCCTCAGGGCTCTCAGCAGCATCCCCATTTCCCCTTTCACCATGTTTGTGTGCTTCAACATCTCCCTGCTCCCTTCCATAGCCAGTACTGACAGGGTAAGGGTCAAGGTGAACACTGGTAGCACTAAGGTCAAGGATTTCCTGCTGCAGTATCTAAGTTACTTTGAAAGCATGAACACCTGTCCTTTATTTTTTGTTTTAATCTTAAGTTTTGTATTATGATTTTAACTTAAGCACATGGCTGGGCACAGAAACAGAGAGCATCTTTTGTCTAAAACTCCACTCTTCCACTCCTTTCTGGCGACTTTTCCTATTCACATCACACCTGGTCACGTCCAGTTCCTAAAAGCATTTGCTTAACTCACCACGTAAATAACACCTCTGAGGGGGCCAGACCTCCAGAGCAGACACTGGCTAATGTGTGAGATGCAGTATCATTTGGGAAAGCCAGTCCCAGGGAAAGCTGAAGCCAGTCTCTTGAGTACACTTTAATTCTCCTCTTCCCATCCAAACCAGGGGACCAGGGTACACCTCTTACAAACAACACCTTCTCTTTGTGACATGAAAAGTGCAGAACCCGCAGAACATTCTCAAGGGCAGGAAGGCTCAGTTGAAGCGCAGAGGGTTACAAAGCCACCTCAGGCTGTTTGCTGGACTGGGTGTGACCCTGCTCTCACCCACAGCCACTGGCAGCACAGAGACCACCGTCCTCATCTGCAGTGCTGCCTCTGCTTTTCTGGATAACTGCACCACTGAGCACTGAAGTTTTTCATCTCCCAATTGCTTTTCCCTATGTTACTTCAGGAAAAAAACACAACCCACACACTGAGCTACCACCAAGATGACTGGGACAGAGGAGCCTGTCCAAGCAGCACAGTCACAGATGCTGGGTGAGAGCCATCAACCCCCCACAGAGGCAATCTCGGAAGACCCTGCAATGAGGAGAGGAAACAAAAAAGCCTGTGAGCAGCTGAGGGAGACGTTCATTCTATCGATTGTGTAAACTGTCAGTGGAGTGGCGATGAGCAATTTTTTTTTTGTTTCTATCCTGGGGAATAATCCAGCTTGATAATTAGTACATAAGAGATAAGTGGAAAATGAGACATCTAGCGAGGGTGGTTCAAGCCTCCTCATGACATTGATAATGTGCAGATACATAGATCACTGTCGGGGCAAACTGCCACTGTGAGCCTGTGTCTTCCCATTGCCTCATCAATCCATCATCCGCTTAGCTACTGACACCTTGGCAGGCACACACCACCAGCCCTGCATTTGAATTGAGAGGAGCAGGCTCCACCAGGGAATACAGATTTAAAAATCTAAGATTCAAATTTGTTTAAGTATTGTGAACAGCAATTCCCTTGCAAGGCATCTTCATTGCCCTTTTGCCAAGGGGGAACAGTTGGGTCTTTGTTAGAAGTACAAATTGCTTCTTAATGCAAAGGATAAAGCAGAGCCCAGGCACCTCCTTAGAATTCCTCCTGGCTCCTGCTAATGCTGCTGCATGTCAATTTTAATTTTTTGAAATTTAAACCAAGGGCTTTGTGTCTAAGCTCCATTTCATTGAAGGAGGGGGGAGGAATAGTCAAAAAGGATTACGGATCCGGTGGGAATTGAGGATCCATAGCAATTATACTTCATTTGGATGGTCTCAGACACTGGTTTTAATCATATTCTAAATAGTACAAATCGACAAGACATAAGAGATTGATAAGTGTCTAACACGTGTACCTGGTTATGAACTCTGCTTCCCTCAGCAGGGGTTGTTAGAGGACGGGGTGGAAGATGGCTTTCTCCCTCTGACTCTCCTCTCTCCTCTTCCAGCCAACAAGAAGACAGTACCCACTGAGGACTACATAGGAGACAGGAGTGACTCTAAGAACTTGGTCATCATGGGGCTGCCCCAAAGTGGGGCTGGAACAAGTCCATCTCACTGTGGCTCCCTTTCCTCCTGCAACATCAGGGCAGGGGCAAAACTCCAGCCTTGGCAGAGCTGTCTCAGACCAGCCCCTGCCTCTCTTATCTGTGCAACTGCACTAACGCTGCAAAGGGCAGAGAGCTAACAGGGAGGTAAGACCTTCAGGAGGGAAAATTAAAAGACAGGACTGTAAAATGAAAGCAAGTGCTTTTGTAAATCAATTTAGCTCCTTTAGCTTCAGCAGTCCCTACTTACCCTAACTGAGAAGGGTAAATGATGAAAAATGAGGTGATGATGAAAAATACACCTCCTCCACCAAAGGCTCAGAACCACATGCACTACTGACACACCTGTGCATTTTGAAAAAGACCAAGGGTGGCTGGGATTTACAGAGGACCATCGGGGAAAACCCTTCAAAATGGTCTGAATCCATCAGTCCTGAGCAAGCTTTCCCACCCAGCCCACCTCCAGTCAGGTGTGGTTTCCAACCCATACACACACTGCAAGTGCAAGGGTTTAAACAAACTCTCTCTCCTGCTACCTTCTTAACATTTGTCAAGCATGTTATAGAAACATGGCTTTCCATAATCAGTGATTAAACTGCTTTTCCTGTACTTCACTTAACCTCTGGATAAGGTTTTAACCCAGTAAATCTGTTTAGGAGATTCATTCCACACCCCCACTTTCACCTCTTGGCAACTGTGTGCCTTCTTTTCACAAAATTGCATAAAGGTGAAGCTTTTTTCCTATCTCTCTACTTCTTTCCAGCTCACTTGAACTACATTCAAGACCTAGGCAAGGAACCCCATCCTAACTTTAAATATTACTATAAACCTAAGGGACTGAAGTGACGTTTACTTCCCACCCTCCTGTGGCACCACCACAGTGCTCCTTTGTAGCACTGGAAGAGACAGAAAGCAAGAAGGCATTGTCTAAAAACATAATTTAATGTGGTATTTGGGTGACTGTGGTCAATGACCAAATTCTTTTGCAGACAGAAATAGGTTTGACGTTAATGACACCACCATTCACACGAGCATTGCATTGCACAGAAAGAAAAGTTTACACTTGACCCCATACAAAGCAGCAGAGGAAAAAACAGTTATGATCCAGTCCCACTTCGTGAATAGTTGAGCTGAAAATTCATCATCGTCATTAATACTTATTGATGAAAAAAATGTGACCTGCTCAAATTCCGTGTGTGACACAGTCCAAACTCTGGGCTCTTTTACACCCTCCTGGAACCACTTGAGAGTTTCAAGCTGCCAAGTTCCTCATGTGACACACGAAACACTCAGGCAGACAAAGGGAGAGTGGGGGTCAGAAGAAATGGAGGAGAGTAAGGAAGGGGTTCACTTTGTTTCATTTCTATTTCGTTTCCACAAGGGTGAAAATAAAAACATACAAACTGATAATGAAGCTAAAGTGACCTGTGGAGACAGTGGACACCAGCAGGAACAGCAGCACGATGGAGAATGGAATTGCCAAATAGCCCCATGTGCATCAGTGGCAGGGCCAGTTGTGTCGTGTCGCTCGTGTGTTAATCAGGGTATAAAAGAAAGCCAGAGAAAGTGCTGTACTTATTGTTGTTGCCTCCGTGTGCTTTGCCTCCATCCAGCTTGACGTACACTTCGTCGCCGGAGTCCAGGTGCAGCACCACGCTGTTGCTGGCATAGTCGTAGTTCTGGTCTGCGTCTTGGGCGATGGCACTGGCCCGCACCTGCCAACACAGCCGCTGGGAACATCAGCCCCCCTGCCCCTCCTGGCCAGCATCCCTATTAGCCGCCCGAGTCACTCTTCCGCAGCCCCCATCAGTCCCCCACCACACCTTTTCCATTCCTCCCAGCCCCTCTTTCTCAGCCCCTCCATCAATGTCCCGAGTCCCTCTTTCCCAACCCCTCCACTACGCCGTGTCCTCTCTCCCGCCCCTGTCCTCGCTTCTCCTTCTCGCCAACCTGGCAGGAAAGTTTGCAAGCCGGGAGTTGGGAATTTGTCGCGGCTCTAGAGGTGCACCCCCGGCCCGAAGGCGCGAAGGATGCTCCCGCTGGCTCTTCTCCCGGGAGCGGCGGCGGCGGCCGGTGCCCGGGACGGGAACGGTGGGAGGGGAACGGGCGGGGAGGACGCGCGGGGGAGCGGCGGAACCCACCTGGCCGTTCTTGCAGAGGTCGGCCCACATGCTGGTGCCGTCGCCGCCGCGCATGAGGATGTGGTAGGTGAAGAAGTAGATGCCGCGCACCTGGCAGGTGAACTTGCCGCTGGCCGGGTCGTAGTGGTTGCCCAGGTTGGTGACCACGTCGTCGAACTTGAGGACCTCATAGCCCTCGTGGGGGCTCTTGAGCCCCACGTAGAAGGCGATGCGCGGCCCGCTGAAGGCGGCGCTCAGCCCGCCCGCAGCATCGCCGCCCGCCGCCGCCCCGCCGCCGCTCCCGCCGCCGCCCGTGCCCGCCAGCGCCAGCCCGGGCAGCCCCGGCTTCCCCGCGTCGCCCCGCTCCCCCGGCGGGCCCCGCGGACCCGGCGGACCTGGCTCCCCGGGCGGCCCGCGGGGGCCCGGCTTGCCCGGTCGGCCCGGTTCTCCCTTGGGTCCCTGCACGAAGGGCGGCGGGGGGTTGGCGCCCAGGTCCTGCAGGGCCTCCACGGCGGCGGTGCTGCCGGGGCCGGGCGGCCGGCCGCCGCTGTACGGGTCGCAGATCATGCGGCAGGTGCCCATCATCTCGTAGTGGGCGCCGGTGTCGGCGGGCGCTTGCAGCAGCAGCAGGGGCACGGCGACCAGCAGCGCGACGGCCATGGCCAGGGCGAGCCCGGCGGCGGCCAGCAGCCGCCTCCTCCGCTGCCAGAGCCGGGCGGCGGCGGCGAGCAGGTCCTCCTTGCCGTGCGAGGCAATGGTGGCGCGGGGGGCCGGCCGCTCCCTGCGGGGGACGGTAAGAAGAGGCGGTGAGACCCCGCCGCCGGCGCCTCCCCGCCCGGCCCCCGCCTCAGCCCGCCCGCCGGCCGGCCGGGAGCCCCGCCATGCCGAGAGCCGCCGAGAGCCGCCCCGCTCCGCTCCGAGGGGACGCGGCGCCCCGTCCGCCCGCCGGGGCTGGGCGGGCGCGGGGGCGTCGCCTCGGCGAGCGGGAGCCCGGCTCTACCCCTCGGTCCCGCGTGGGGGGACGGGCTCGCCCGCCCCCGTCGCCGCCCCGACGTGGGGGGCGCGGGCAGGGCGGACCCACCTGCGGGGGGCCGGGGCGGAGCCGCCTGGGGGGCTCCGGGGCGCCGCCGTCGTTGCGGTCCGCGGGGCGCCCGTCTGGCAGCGCCCGCCCGCCCGCTCTCTGTGCACAGCGCCGGTGGCGGCGCGGCCCCCGGGCGGGGCGGGCGGAGGGAGGGGAGGGGAGAGGAGAGGCGGAGGGGTGTCCCGCACGTCCCCGGGCACTCGGGATGCGGGGTGGGGGGGGGACCGCGCCCGCCCCGCCGGCACCGGCCGAGTCACTGCGGGTGCCGCCCAAACTGCGCTCCGCTGAAACCGGGACGGTCGGGGACGCATCGCGTTGTCCCGTTCACCTGCCACCTGAACTGCTTCCTCCCCGCATCTTTGCATCCCTTCGTCCCTCCATCCCTCTGCCCGCAGCGGGACGGCCCCTGCGCGATGCCCGGACGGCGGCCGGAGCCCCGGTCCTGCCGGGATGAGCTCCCTGCCGCCGCCGGCACGCACAGCTTTCTGCGGGAGAGGCCGGGGAAAGCCCCGGCCAGGCAGCAGGTCACCTCAGAGCGGTCCCCGCGGCTTCCTCAGGCTCCCCGCGTCCTGCCTCGGCGGCCCAAAGACGGGCGGGACAACATCGCGGGTGCATCTTGATCTTCTGCACATCCAAGTCTAACCAGAGCCCGTTACACCCTTCCCGGTTTTCCAAAGGCAGGCAGGGCTTGCCAAGTGGAAGGAGAGCCCTAGGAAGAAACGCCTTTAGCAGAGTTCAGGTTAGGTTACAGCACGGTATTCTGTAGTTTCCCTGCGTAATGACGGGTCCAAATCAAGTGGGTTTTCCCGCGAGAAAACTGTGATTAATTGCTTGTGATTTTCCCAGTAAACGGTGGTAGCACAGCGGGAGCTCTGGCATCGTAAACTGCCTGCGGAGATCTCCCCTGCAGAGAAAGTTGGGATCTCACCCACGTGTCTACGAGTTTAAGCACCCGTCCTGGAAGGAAAGAAAAGAGAGATACAGGGATTACACGGGTTGCCTCAGGGCAACAATCCGGTGTCCCACGCTGCGTAAGAAGGGTGAATTCCCCGCGGGCTCGCCAGAGCTGAGCGCAGCCTGTTTGGTCTTAAAGCCGGCAGAGCTGCAGGTCGAAGGAGCGAGCCGCCCAGTCTGATCCAGATCTGCTGAAGCTGATGGCCTGGAGGCATCGTATGCAAATAGGAACGCACAGGCTTCTTCCAAGAACTGTGGAAATGCCCTAAAAGGACTTGGGACTCTTTTGATAGTTTTTCTTGAAATTTAAGGTTTTGCTGTCTGGAGTGCAGCGCTTCAGATCTCATCCCAGTTACATCCCTGCGTGCATCCAGAAATTTTCTTGGAGTTATTCGGGCTTTGCGCTGCTGTTGCTGAGATCAGGGTTCAGCCCTGTCCTTTCGAATGTCTCTGATTATTTTCACCCATACCTGTATACTTGAAGCTGGAAGGGAAATTAATTTTGTAAATGAAACCTTTCCCTGAGAATTGTATGGATAGTCACATTAAAGTAACTATGTCTATTTCTTAGCACAATGAAGCTAAATGTTTTAAGAGACGAGATTATGAGAAAGACGTAAATCCTTTTCCGCTCCTCTGAATTATGAGTTGCATCCCACAGAGTTATTTTAAACCCCTACACGTGTCTAAAGCCTTGTAAAATTATTTCTAATAGTTGTTTCTGTTCCAGCCTTAGTATAATTTTCCATATACTAACTGTGCTAAATACAAATAAATTCACAAATAAATTACAATGCTTTGCTGCTCATCCCTACTTAAGCCTCTGTTAATTTCCCTTTTGTTCTGGTATTTGTGATTCGCTCTGTTCTTCCCGTGTATGTGGATCCTTGCTATTCCCCCAGAGCTCTGCAAGCTCCCCTAAAGTGGCTTTTTAATCTCCTGTTTTCCAAAGGCAGAAGCCACACCGTAGCTTTTCTAAACCTTTTCTGAATAATTAAGTTCTTGCATCATTTGGACTCTGTTGCAACGTCCCAATTTGCAGCAACTCACTTCTCTAATGAGGTGACTGGTACTGGGAACTATATTCCAAATAAAGGCTCACCAGCCCCTTCTGCAAAACCAGAATAATTTTATGTGGCGGGGTCTGTTATTCCCATACATCAACAAGGACAGATGAAGAAGAAGAAATATATCCTAACTTTCTGCAGAATAAAATCGGCATTGTTCTTAATAAGAAGGGTTGAGTTTTTGTGTAAGTAGGAAGAAAAGATTACAGAGATATCAGCAGTTAGATTAGGTGTCAAATTCTAGCAATTTTGTTTGGGAATAATTGAATTACTCCTCTGTGATGTGGTGAGATGGACTGATCACCTAGTTAATCCCTCATCAAATTGCTTTAAGGTAAACACAATGTGACTTTAATGTATAATTCCAGTTGGATCTATATTCCTGGAGACCTGGAGTTACTGCAATGCATCTTGTGCCCCAAGACGTAGCACTTGTGATCCTTGAGGCAGCTGGTACCATTTACCGAACCTACACTGGTAATTTGGAACACAGTTACAAAAAGGTACGTGGCAACACTTAGGTTACAGTTTTGATACAGGCTGCAACTACACTGCTGGGAGCCTGCTTTCCATATGAAATGGGATGCACCACAGCAGCACAAGGAGCCAGGAATTACCACGTCAGCTGAGGCAGTGTCTGAGGTCCTGCCAGCCCTGCAGGGAGGTACCTTTCTTCAATTGGGGTGACAAGTCCCAAAGCTCGTCTGAGAATCAGGCACTTCACATCGTTCAAAAAGTGAGCCAGGCTGGTGTTCCATTGCTGGCTGCTGAGGGCTGGCAAGACTCAGGTGCCTCTGGGTGTGCCCGAAGAGGAATAAGGCACCCACAGGGCAGCCCTGGTGAAACACAAAGGCTGTCTGGACCTCGGCACTAGATGTTGGCTGAGCAGGAGCTTAGGTGATTGCTGTTGTTGGCCAAAACAATGGTTAAGCACCTAAAAGCTTGTATGGATCTAACTTGAAACTTCTTTTGTGTGGTGTAAGGACATAGGAACCTGACTGATGAGGGAAGCACTTGGTGGTTCAGACACCACTCCCAAATTTGTGCAGGCAAAGAACCCAGACACTTTGCATTGAAGCTCCTAATTTCCAGGGGCACAAGCATTTCCATTCCTTAATTTCTGCTTCAAGGGACAGTCACCCACCCACCCCAGGTTGCTAGTAGCCTTGAAGAGATATTGTGTTCCATCAGATCCACTTCCCACAGTCATTCCAGAGTGTCTGCTGGATGGAGCTTCTCACAAGTATTGCATGCACTTACATTCATACAAAGCAGTGATGAGGACACCAGCCTGGGAGGTTGATGTTTCTTCCAGTGCTTCACCATTTACTAGATTTGGAAGATGTTTTTAAAACTCTTTCCAGTCTTCCAGGAGCATAGTCTCAGACTTCCAGATGTTGGGTGTTGTGAGTTGGATTTTCTTCAGCTTGTTCTCTAGGATCTATTCTGCTGTAAAATGCTCTCTCCCAAGAGACAGAAAAAAAACCAATCTGATGACTGGAGGAGCTCAGGGATGAGCTTTCAAACCATGCCTGTCACTGGGGCTGAGCCACCTTTCAGGATATGGGCAGTCTGTCCATCCAGAAGCAAACACAGGACGCTCCTGCAGGCTGCAGCTGGCCATCTGTATTTCTCAGGGGGGTTGTCAGCAGGGTGACAAGAAGGAGATCTGGGTTCAGCTTGATTTGCTGCCTGAGAAATACCAACCTGTGTTCCCTGGGGAACTACAAAAATCTTCCAGGGTGCAAGATACCCGGGGAAGATGGAGAGAGCAGAGGAGAGCACTGTATGCCCTTATGCTGAACCTGTTCTTGTTTGCATAAAAAGAATTAAAGATTCATTGAGCTATAAGAGGAAGATCAAAGGTGAGTCTAATTTTTAGTTTAGTGGTGAGAGCATCTACCTGACCTGGAGTTTCAGTCTTCCTCCAGAAACTGTTTGTGAATTCCAGCCAGGAGGACAAAATTCCTGTTCCTGAAAGATCAGTCCCAACTGCTGAACTAAAGACTCTTCTGCACTTGCTTTCCTTTCTCTCAGAAAGTTTACTTTGGTTTTTTCACCTTCTCAGCTGCACGTCCTCAGCACAAACTGAGCTCATGAACTCAAGCATGTGGTTTGCTCCAAGTCCAACAAGAGCTGAACCATCTGTAACCCTGGCAGGATGCAGCAGGATGCAGACGCACTGAGGTTCCAGGCACAGGTGCAAGGTGACTGTTGTGCATTTGAAGTTCTTGGAGACTGAAGGTAGTTACCTCCTGAGTTAGGATTGGACTGGAGCTGAGAGAGACTTTTAATTTCAATACTGGATTTAGATGTTTCTATTCTGCTTTAATTCCTTCTTTTAGCAACTTTTTTGATTTGGCCATTAAGTTGAAAATGTAAGAGCTGTACTGGTTCAGGTACCCTATTTAGCAAAAATGTCAAGATCAAAGCAAGTCTATGCTCATAGTTCCCTGTTATTTCCCCTTAATCTCCACCAACCAATGGCTTAAGGACTTCCTGAGCCATGGTAAAATACTTTTAAGAAGCTGGAATCAAGATTACTTTGAGTAAAGGCA